ACATGTATTTTATGATGTTCACCGAAAAATATCAAATGATTAAAAGTTTATCCACTTTAGCAAAGGTAAAGGACTAAAATATCAAAAAAAGAAAAAGGACTAGATATTTAAATTTATTTTTCTTAAACCTTATTCTTTCATGGGCGAAGTGGAAAACCCGAAATAAACAGCGGAGGTTGAAGTGTTAAACCCTAAACCCTAACTCTCTCGCCGGCGAGTAAATTGACGTTGCAAATCACTCGCACAGTAGGTGTGTTTTCTTCTGAATTCTGTTTGTTTATCATTTTTCAATTACTGTATTACGTTGATAATCCTAAGTTCTTTCATTCAGTTCAAATTTATAGCATGTATGTGTGCATCTACAACTCTGATTGGTGCTGAGTTAGCGAAAGTTTATTTGGTGCTTAAAATGTGGCAATGGCAATAAACCAGAAAAATGTGGAAATTTGTAGCATTTATGGAAGAGAAATGTTTAGAATTTAATAAATACTACACAGTTTGCTTTTTGTGCTTAAGCTGGGAAATCGTTGGGCAATGCGTAGCTGAATTGAGAAAGAGTGGTTAAGGTCATGGATTTAGTATTTGAAAATCTAAATTGAAATCGGTCAATATAAGCTCTGGAAGTACATTTACTGTTATTCAGGATAAGTTGATTTAGACTGGTGAAGTACATTTAGTTGGAGGAGAATTACAAAGTGTCATGTTCAAATTCCAGCACAACCAAAGAACAAGCCGAAAGTAATTGACTCTCAAACTTAGATGAATGAAGTGATAAGAATGATGATTCCCAATTGCCAACCTGACAACGGTAGACTAAAAAACAATCAAGAGAAGTGAAGAGAGGAAACGTTCCTAAGAGCAGAGTTTGAGACGAGGGAACTTATGGAATGTGGTAGATTGGTAAGAGATCAGAAGTGGTTGCTCTGTATGAAAAATAGGAATTCACGTGCTAAACCTCCAGTTTATGATGAAATTTAGATTATTGAATGTCCAATTAAACCCTATTGTTGCCAGGAAGGCATGTTGACTGTGAGTGTATGCTAAATCCTCACTTATATATTTCTTCCCATCTGCCTATGCCTAAGTTTTGGTGGACAAAGTTACTAGATATGTGTGTTGATGGTGGTGGGAAATAGCTAATACCCGGTGTAACAGTCGAGGTGTAAGCAAGTTGACCCGTGTAAAAAAAAGAAAAATGTGAAGTGCATTTGATGTATAATATGCTGTTACAAAGATTGTTGACTCAAATATCTGAAAACGATGTGTTCTAAACATGGCTTGTCTTGATATCTTTCTTTTTATGGTTATCTCATATCTGATCTTCTTGTCAAAGCAGGCAATACAAAGTGTGTCTGTAATAAAAATGTTGCTCCGTTTGATCCGGAGATCTTATGCTGCTGTTCGCCCTCTATCAATTGAAGCTTCGACAACAGTGAAGTCCACAAGATCAGGAGGTGGAAGTAGCATTACCACTAGTTTAGAAGGTGGCACTAGTACTGCCACAAGTACTCGTGGCAGAGACACACTAGGGAGGAGGCTTTTGAGTTTGATCTATGCAAAACGTAGTGCTGTCATTGCTATACGCAAGTGGAAGGAAGAGGGGCACCCTGTCCGGAAGTATGAGCTCAATCGCATTGTCCGGGAGTTGCGAAGACACAAACGATTTAAACATGCCCTTGAGGTTTCTATTTCTTCTCATTAACTGTTTCATGATTTACTTTGAATCATTCATTTCTTAGGCTTATAGTGGTAGAGTATTGCAGCACTGGAATACATTTCCTTTGATTGTTTTCTATGCTAGCTTCTACATTTTTCCATGAAACTTGCTTAGGATGGATGGGCGGGATAGGGTAAGAACTGGAAATTATCTGCTTCTTTTGTTGAATACTCAAGTGAATTATTCTATGTGGTTAATTGCTGAATACAAAGTCATTGTACATGGTGCCACCTTAGATTTTGAACAAGGGAGTTACTAATCCAAGATATGGTGTTAGATGATTGAGAAGGTAACTGCTTTTTACAGTATTCCCAATTGCTCCGGAGTCTCCTCACCTACTGAAGGAATTGCTAGAGTCTTCAAGCTTTGCTGATATTCCTTATATTATTGCTAATAAGAACTCTGACCACTGATATGACCAGTTAAGAACGGAATGCATGTTGTAAATGCTTAATACAAACATGCATTTTATTTTTTCTACTGCTTGTTTTTGTTTTGTTTAAATTAAATTAATTATTGTCCTTGCTCTTGAGTAAGTGTCTCATAGTTTTCTATATTGCCCTTGCGATAGTTTTCTGAAAAGCAAGGCTACATGCCATTTTTAATAGCATTGAAATCTGCAATGTTGATGGGATTATGTTTACAGGTTTGTGAATGGATGAGGGTACAAGATGATATCGAACTATTATCTGGTGACTATGCAGTTCATTTGGACTTGATTGCAAAAGTTCGTGGTATGAACAGTGCAGAGAAGTTTTTTGAAGACCTGCCTGATAAACTGAAGGTCCAGACCACCTGTACTGCCCTTCTCCACACCTATGTCCAGCATAAGGACACTGCTAAAGCTGAGTCTTTGATGGAAAAAATGTCCGAATGCGGGTTCTTGAAGTACCCTCTTCCTTATAATCATATGCTTACCTTATACATATCCCAAGGGCAACTAGAGAAGGTTCCAGGCCTGATTAAGGAATTGAAGAAAAATACCTCTCCTGATATTGTCACATACAATCTGGAGTTGGCAGTTTTTGCATCACAGAATAATGTTGAAGCTGCAGAGAAAGCGTTCCTTGAGCTAAAGAAGGCAAAATTGGACCCTGACTGGATAACATTTAGCACCTTAACCAACATCTACATTAAAAGCTCACTTCAGGATAAGGCAAAGTCTACTTTGAGAGAAATGGAGAAAAGGATTTCCAGGAAGGGTCGAACTGCATATGCTTCTCTCATTAGTTTGCATACAAATCTACAGAGCAAGGATGAAGTTTTCCGAATATGGAAGGAGATGAAGTCACTCTTCCGTAAAGTGAATGATACAGAATATAGTTGTATTATATCGTCGTTACTGAAGTTGGATGAATTTGGAGAAGCAATGAATCTGTACACTGAATGGGAAGCTGGTTCTGTGACCAAGGATACTAGGATTGCAAATTTAATTCTTGCTGCTTACATTAACAGAAGTGAGATGGAAAATGCTGTCGATTTTCACAACAGAATGGCGGAGAAAGGCATAACTCCTAGCTGCACCACTTGGAAGCTTCTTACACAGGGTTATTTGAAGCAAAAGGAAATGGATAAAGTTGTCGAATTTTTCAAAAAAACTGTTACAAGTGTTTCAAAATGGGATCCGGATGCAAAGATGGTTCAAGAGATGTTTCATGTAGTTGAAGAGCAGGGCGACATTCAGATGGCAGAACAGTTACTAGTTACCCTTCGACACGCTAAGTATGTGAATACAGAGATATATAATGCACTTCTCCGAACTTATGTGAATGCTGGTAAAATGCCAATGATAGTTACAGAGAGGATGAAAAAGGATAACGTCGAGATGGATGAGGAAACTCGAAAGTTAATTGGAATAACTAGCAAGATGACTGTAACTGAGGTTCCAAATGGGGTTGCTTAAGAACAAGGCTGGACTTTCAACTATGTAAAATATTCAGATTATGCACAAGAAACTTGTATCCAAAGCTTCTCTTGTAGCAATTAGAGTTTTACTATGCCTCCCACAACAGCTGTATGTTTTCTATTTATATATCCATTGAACAGTATTGTAATAGTTGATGTAGTGATTTCAATTTTCAATTAGTAAATCAATGAAATACACCTACTTTGGGTTATTTAAATATACTTGCAAGTAATTTGTGTATCCCTCCCCAAAAAATGTCCGTTTTGAGGTCAGACTTGCAATACATGCTCTGATGGTCAACACTCGCCATCAAGTAGTTATATAATAGATCATTCCACATATAAATGTTGTTTCATAGTAGACATGCAATATGTTTTGATTTTAACATATCATGGTAAAATTTACCGATCAAGCCGTGTCGAGGCACAACACTCGGACACATCTTATATGATTTTTTTTTTCATCGTTTGAGAGTCAATTTTTTAATTTTTGCCATGTGAATTTAGAATGAAATTTTAAAATAAAATTTACATATTTAAAAATTACTTAAAAAGTATAATAAGTTATATTAGTTTATAATTTAAAATATTTTAAAAACATGAAAAGATCATATCAAACAAAATTCAAAAGTTACTACATAAAGGTGGAGCTACTTCTCAATCCTGGGAAATCTTAGTTGCAGAATTGAAAACTTATACTATTGTGTAATATTTTTTTTTAGGTAGGATATTGTGTAATATGTTCTCAAAAAGAGTGGAAAAGAAACTTTTATTCAAATTATAGTAGTAATACTAGTTCTGCAACAATACAAGTATCAACAGACCCTTTCAATTTGAGTTACGGTGGAATGATAGGAATCCTTCATTTTTAGTTAGATATTTCGAGTTTAGAGTTATGAGAATGAAAAAAAAAACTATTTGTAGGCACTACTCAAAAATGTGTTTTGTAATGTATAAATATAAGTTTAATCAGCTTTTAATATGAGTACAGGAAAAAAAAAAAAGAAGCCTTTTCTTTTCTACCTAAAAGAAAAGAAAGAAAGGATTATTAAAAGATTGTGTGGGTGTGGGTGTGGGTGTGGGCGTAGGTGTGGGGGCGGCATAAATGGTTTTTTGAGGAATTAGATGAGAAAAGAAGGGAAAATTATTTTGGCTGCTAAATTGATGTATTAATTCTTTGTTTTTATTAAATGAAAAAGATATATTTAGATCTTAATATGTTTTAGTTAAGTCGTGAGGACGGGATAATAGGGGTTAGCTAGCATAGAATATATAAGAGTAGTAGATGGATTAAGGACCATTTTAATCAAATAAATACTTTTGTTATATATTAAAGATCATTTTAATAAAGGCATATTTGACCCTTTTCCTAATATAAATAGGAAAAACCGTATGTGCCTCTCGACTCTTTTGTGCATTCTAGGTTAGAATGGAAACATATTGTTGCAGTAATGGGATTGATAGAATAAGCTCATTGCCCGTTGATATACTTCACATCATTCTTTCAAATCTCTGTATTTTTGATGTGATTCATATGACTGTATTGTCCAAAAGATGGAAAAACATATGCACTACCATCCCCTACTTCCGCTTTGATAGTAATTTCTCTGATTCAGATCCAGATTTTGAGGAATTCAAAGAATTTATCGATACCTTTTTAATTTCCCATAAAACGATTAGCCTTGTCCGTTTTATCCTCTCATGTAGCAATATGTTTGAAAGCACAGATATATTGCGTTTTATTGATGCAGCAACAAGAAGAAATGTTGAACAACTTGTGTTGTGGTTTTCGCCTTGTGAGCCATTTGAGTTACCGCATTGTCTTGTAACTTGTGAATCTTTACATGTTTTGAAACTAAATTTGTGTGGATATATACTTAAACTGCCTAATCATAATCATTTGGGCGGATTTCGTCAGCTGAAATTGCTTCATCTGTGCAATGTTGAGTTATTAGATGGACATTTGACAAGTTGCTTCTTCTCAGAATGTCTACTCCTTGAAAAATTGGAATTATGTGATTGCAATTTACAACATATGAACCTGCTTTATATTGCTTCGAAATCTCTTTTATACCTTACTTTTGATGAGGGCAACTATTATGACAATTGTGAAATCAAAATTTCTTGTCCTGCTCTCAAATTCTTAACATATAAATCTCCTATGCCAAAGGATATAGTAATCAACAATCTCTTTTCAATAGAACATGTTAACATCAATTTTGATGATTATGATAGAAATTGTGATGAGAAAATTGGAATTCTTGTGCATAAGATGATCAAGGAAGCCCCTTCTATATCACTTCTGAAACTATGCAAGGCTTCTCTTAAGGTAAAGTTTTGTTTTCTTTGGATTTAATAAGCACATAGATTCTTAATTTTCTCATTTTTTGTATTTTCTTTTGGTGTTGTAGGGTTTGTATAAAGAGGCTTGCCTCTCTCCCATCTGCTTTAATAAGCTCAAGTCCTTAAAACTGAAATTGGGAGTTGATGAAGATTGTATGCAAGTTATGATACGATTGCTCAAGTATTCGCCTAACCTCGAGGTTTTAAAATTGTGGTGCGATGAGGTAAGGCACTTCATCTGTGAAGTGATGTAATGAAAGTCTGAGATGAATAACATGTTGATTGGATGGATGGCTTGGTTTGGTTTGAATTGTAGGTATCAGACTGCAATACAAACAGATCACTTGGATTTTTTATGAATCAGTGACACTTGAAAGTGAATCCTGTTTGGCATTTTCACTTGAAATAGTTACTTGTGTTGTTGAGTGATTGCTGCTTATTCAGATTTATAGTTGTTTCAATACAAGTGTTTGATTTCTCTTCTGACTCTCAATTGTCTTCTAGGATGGAGAATGGAGGGAGAATTATTTAAAGTATCAAGAATGGTGTGACTATTGGCAGGTACGGGAAGATCAAGGCCGGGGGGATAAGGTTTTACACCCGACCCCCCTTGGTAAAAAATTACAATGTACATATAAGGTAGTAAGTAATTCTCTACTTGTTATGTTTATATAGATTTTGAGTCCCCTAAACACAAGACTAGAGACTGGGGAGTTGAAAAGTCACCTTTGGGATTGCAAGTTTCAGATCTGAAACACAACATTTTTAATTGTTGGCAGATGCATGATCCTGAAGAAAGCATTGTGTGCTTGGACTCTCATCTAAAATCGATTCAGTTGATTGGTTTCAAAGATGAAGAAAACGAGATAGAACTAATAAGGTTTTTTCTGAAGAATGCACGGGTATTGGAAAAATTTAGGATTGTTTGTGCTGGTTATGCTCTGACATCAGAAGAGGCATCAAAGAAGGTTTTGAATATTCCTACAACTTCTTCACAAGTTCTTTTGACATTTCACGATGCCAAGCTCAAACGGTGGTCTGATAACTGGTTGGATAATTGTTAGATTTAGTCTTATTGAAGATCCAAGTGAGAACCAAATTGTTGTTGAGGTTTATGAAACTTGTAGTTCATGTTTGACTGAAATAGAGTACTTACTAGGACTACATAGTATATATGCCCAATTTGGAATTTGCATTCTAGTCCATTGTATTGTGACAGTGGAGTTGCATTGTAACATCACAGGTCGAAGTTTCTTAACTGCTCGTCACATAAACAACTATCATCGATGTATAGTTTCTTCAATCAAAGCCAACCAAACAATATTTGAAAGATACAACACCAAATTAAATTAGCAATCCACAGTCCAAAGTAATGGAATACATAATGAAACGTAAAAATACTCATTCTAGTCTAAAGAGAAGATTATTTACACATAGATAACTACATAACATATAAGTAGTGAAATGTGGCATCTTAATTTTGTAATTCCTAACTAAGAAAATGTTGGAAAAATATGGAGTATTATATATCTCATAAAGAATTATTCTATCTCCTATTCCATTTGAAGGAAAATATTATTTTATGTCCTAAATTATTCACTCCTTAAAAAATCTTCATTGTCCATGATAGTGGTGATTGACTATAGTCTTTAATACCATCATAAATACTTTTTCTCTATTGATATTAATTCCCATTAATCCTTTCCAATAATGAGGGAGGAAAATGTCACATTACTAATATATAATGTTCTTCATCCATTGTGGATAGTAGAAAAAACATGTTTTCATTTTGTGAGAACAGAGAGGCACAAAGTTCTCTCTTGTAATTTCTCCGTCTATACTTTGTTATGCTAGGTTTTCTTTCTTAATTTCTGGCTCCTCGTTTATACTAGAAGAGCTTGTTGAATCCTGAAAATACACCTATACCGGGTGAAATATCCTTAAGCTATGAAAATTTCCTACAAAAGTTTGTGGTGAAGTATAAATTTTGGTGAATTCAGTACAAGTGTTTGTGATGAAGGTATTCGACTTGTATCATGGGAGAAAGTTTGTTGCCCAAACAAGACTCAAGTGGAATGTAGCATCTGTTGGTCAATTGCTTGTAAGAAAGATTCTTTAATGCGTATTCATTAACTCCTCAAGGGGAGGGTGGAGGGCATTATATTATATAGGGTAAAAAACTTAAATATCTATCTATATCTATACTACCTTAAAAGCATGAATTCCAAACTTGAATGCTAAATTACTATAATACCTCCAATTAAAAATAATCAATTTATTTTATTTATTAATTTAATAATATTAAAAGTAAATACCTTTTCACATTAAAGGGTTGTGATTTTTTCAAAGGGTTGTGACTTTTTTGATGGGTTGTGACTTTTTCGATGAATTGTGACTTTTTCGAAGGGTTGTGATTTTTCAAAAGAGTTGCGACTTTTCCAAAGGGTTGTGTCTTTTCTGATGAGTTGTGACTTTTTTGATGAGCAATGACTTTTTCGAAAGGTTGTAACTTTTCTGATAAGGCAGAATTAGCACCTATTCATACTACTATTTGTTAGCTATAAATAGAGGGTTTCCTCTCACTTTTAAACTACGATTTTTAAAGTTTTCTACTCTTCTTCTTCTTAAAAAATCTCAAGGGTTATTTGGAACAGTTGATTAAATTCGAGGTACCACATGAGAAAGAGTCCGTGAACAAATTGTAGCAAATCATTCATCAATTCACACTCATATTTTTTCTTACGATTTTCATGAGTTAATAGTGAAGAAAAGTTGTGGGAAATACAATAATAATAAACAATTGTGAAAAAAGACACATCATTTGGGTAAGATATTTCATCTTTATTTTTTCATTTTTTATTCTTTCACACTAAAACAAAGGAGTTTCTTTTTAATTTTACTAAAACAACGGCAGCAACATAGTCCATTGAATTATTAGTTTTGATGTTATATCCACTATTTCAAAAATAGATTTTCACCTTTACTTATAATATGATAATATAATCATGATAATAATTATATTATTTTTAATACATAGTGAATGTAGCATGAACATATATTTTCGTCTTCCTTCTTCATTGGCTATGTATTGTTCCATATGTTTTTTCTTTTTTTATAATTTTATTGAGCATGCAATTTTTTAAGTATGAATTTCCTGTTATTTTGTGCTCATTTTAATTTTAGAAAATGTTATGTTACAAGATATACTCCTTGATAGCTATATAAAAATAGATAAAAAAATAGTGATTGGTCAAAAAGTATTCATAAATAGAATTAAGGATTCTATAAATAACACTTTAAATTTTATTCATCAATTAATTTTTATTATTGAAAAAGGTAAATATTTTAAATCACGATATAAATCTATATGATATGTATGCGGCAGAAAAAACTATATGATAATATGTATGCAGCAGAAAAAATGAAAAGACTATATTTCTACAAAGATAAGGTAGAAACTTAATGAAATGAAATATTTTTCACCAAAGGTGATGTTCATATATTAAATTAAATTATGGTACTAAAATGTATATATATAACAAAGTGTTGGTCAAGTTAAATATTTGACATACACTCAAGCCTCTATTTAACCATCATTCGTTATAACAACAAAGTACCCTTTTTTTTGGGTAAAATTACCTTTCTATGATAATCTTACTCAAATATTAATTGAGTAATAATATTTTATAAAAAATAAATTACGTATAAAGATAAAATATTGAAATATTTATGGTAATAGTGTCATGCACATACTAAATTTCAAGTATGAATTTTTAAGAGAATAATTATACTTAAATGGTGTCCATCATTTATGTTTATAACCTCAAGAAGAAAGGCTATTGATGTTTTTTTAAAAATAAATTTGTTTGTTAGATTTGTTTACAAAATTGAGTGAAGTAAAAATAATACTACTAAAAAATGTCACTTTCTCACCATATTTAAATTCTAAATGTATTTTGAAATGTTTCAATGATATCTGGTCAATATGATCTCAAAATACAAGTAAATCTATAACAATATGTATTAATCATTTAAAAACATTAGTCCTATATTCTTTCAATTATAATTATTTACTAAAAAACATTAATTTAGTAATATTAATTCTATTTTACAACATTGTATACTATATATGCGATACACACGTGCAATGCACGTGCCGTGAAACTAGTACAATTTAAGCACATAAATAACTCCTATATAACAATAGTTTGACTTTTCACAAACATAGCAATAAAATTTTTACAAAACACAAAATAATCAAGAAAAAAAGGGAATTAAAAAAAAGGAATTACAAAAAAAAACGTATAAATAATTATTATATAAGATTCTCATCCCTTAATTAGCTCTCATTCTGTTATTTGCTTCCACAATTATCTCAACCATTAACATAATCCCCTCCCTCTCTCCCTCATAATCACAATACTAGTATACTAACAAGTAACAACAATCAAACTCTCTATCTTCTCTAATAATTCTTTCAATGCCCGAAAATTACAACGTTTCAATTTTAATTCAGTATGGCGAAGGATGAGGTAATTATTATGAAAATTTATCTTTGAAACAAATTATTTTGGTTAAAAACGATTTTGAATATTAATTTATTTTTTTGATTGTTTCAAAATTATTTGTTTTTTTTCACCTTCCGAAATTATTTGTTTAATTAATTAAATATATTTCTTTTTTATTGATAAATATTGTGTTGATTCAATTTGAGATTTATCCACGTTGTTTCAATGAGAAAATGTTTTTTTTTCTGTAATTTTCTGCTTGGTGATAGTTTCATTTTTTTCAATTTACTGATGTTGGTTTCTGCTTGGTGATAATTCATTTTTTTAAAAATAAAAATTCTATTGTTTCTTAATAAATAAATTAATTTTCATTGAGAATAAGACTTTTGCCTAAATAAATTGTTTCGATTTATTAACTCTTTTTTAAAACTAGCGTTACATAATGTTTTTTAGTTCGATTATACTAAAAAATTGATAAATAATTGATTAGATTATGCTGTTATGCATGGTTAGATTGTAACATATAATCATGTTCAACTTTATCAATCTTCATAAATCAATGTTATACCTACAGTTTGGTTATAAGTTGGTGTTTGAATTTGATTATAAGAATAATGAAGTGACACCAATTTTTAACCATATTATACACCATTTCGTATATAACTTTTTTTTTTTTGGTGATATAAAAAAATATAATTGTGTATTTCAAATTTGATTGTTATAACTGTTGTTTAGTAGTTTTTTTTTTTTTTTTTTGAAATGCATTCCAGGAAGGTATGTGGATTTCAAGATTGAAGGAGTGATATGTGACGCAACTAGCAATTGAATTTTTTTTTTTCAAGAGATCTAAAGTAGATTGTAGAAAATGTGTTATAGCCTATAGAGGATCACAACAACTAAACTTGTACCAAATATCCATATGAGGATTAGCATTGTTGAGTTAATTTTTTATTTTCACAACACTTTTTTTCATAATCTAATTGAATGATATTAGCGGATATGAATTTTATTCGTTGTTTATTAAGCATTTTTTCCATAATCATATTTAATCATATGATGTAATTAGTTCTATTATTTATGTTGGTTACCCTTGTGGTATAAAATATCATTTGAAAAAATAAAATGACACGAAATATCAACTAAATTGGTATATTATATGGGGTAGAATTCAATAATTGTTGGTATATTATATGGTACAATGTTAGTATTATTAAATGGTACAATTTTGATATTAGAAATTTTCAATGTTATTCGTAAATAGTGTCATATAGTTCTAGTGTAATTTCAAGTTCTCAATGTAGAAATTTCACGTCTAGGATTAGAGAAATCAAGAATTGTATTGATGAATAAAATTGTTGTGTACATACTCCTTATATAGGGAGAGAATTGTAGAGTCCTAAGTTAACTATACTTAGAGTCCTACTACAATACCTATTACTACTATAATAATAATAATGCAATTATAAATAATCTAATCCTAGTCGTAATATAATCTAATCATAATATAATTCTAGTCGTAATATAATCCTAATTAATATAAGTAATCTAATCCTAGTGCAACTCTAATTCTACAACAGTGTTGTAAACTCGCTAGTTAGCTTCGTTGGACCTGTTCCTTTGACATGTTCCAATCGTCAACTTCCTTCTTCATCAACACTTGTTGTAGACATAACAATCAGCTTCGTTGGACTT